TTTTTTTGGAGACAGAGTCTGTTACCCAGGCTGGAGTGCAGTGGCACAATCTTGGCTCTCTGCAACTCTGTTTCCCAGATTCCAGTGATTCTGGTGCCTCAGCCTTCCGAGTAGCTGTGATTACAGGTGTATACCGCCATGCCTGCCTATTTTTTGTATTTTTAGTACAGACAGGGTTTTGTCATGTTGGCCAGGCTAGTCTCAAACTCCTGACCTCAGGTTATCCACCTGCTTCAGCCTCCCAAAGTCCTAGGATTACAGGCATGAGCCACCACACCTGGCTAATGTACACTTTTTGTAGGTAGGTGATACTTCAATAATTTATATATATTTTAAATAATAAATGTATATATTTTAAAACCTGGCCTCACTGTGCATGCACACACACACACAAAAATCATGACATCATATAGAACTTTATAAAAATTGTCCAAAAGTCAGAAACACACATACACACACATGTGCAAACACACACATGCACAATAAGAGAGAGAGAGAGAGAGATACTGGAAGTGTGGTGAAAAGAAGAGGTTCACATTTATGGAGTGTGATTAAAAACAATCCTCACCCCCTAGAAGATGGGAAGGAAGCCGGTCTGAGGAGAAAGAGGAATTAGTAAGCAGTGTAGCATGACTCACCCAAAAGCAATGACAACCAGCACTGCCCTTTGGCAGTCCAACCACCACTTGGACTTTGAACAAAAAGTTGGTAAAATTATTTAGAGGTGTGGGTGAGTAACGGGGTGTGCCCTGGAGCATTACTTGGTCAAATTGGTTTCTGCCCTATAGTAGATCAACACATAGATCACACATGTTCCTCTTGAGAATGGCCCATGTAGCCCCAGGAGTAAGACCCTGACCATTTCCCATAGCTATTCCTGTGATTCTAATATCCTTCAGCTTGAGTGTTAAGTCCATATCTAATAAACTTAATGAATCTTTCCAGATCTCAAGCAACAGTAATATGATTTTAATGTAAATCAGAAATCTTTGAGAAACTTTTTTTTTTCTTTTTTTTTTGAGACAAAGCCTTGTTCTGTCACCTAGGCTGGAGTGTAATGGTGCAATCTCGGCTCACTGCAACCTCGACCTCCCCAGTTCAAACAATTCTCCTGCCTCAGCCTCCTGAGTAGCTCGAATGACAGGCGCCCGCTACCATGCCTGGCTAATTTTTATATTTTTAGTAGAGACAGGGTTTCACCATGTTGGTCAGGCTGATCTGCAAATCTTGACCTCAGGTGATCCACCCATCTTGGCCTCCCAAAGTGCTGGGGTTACAGGCATGAGCCACCACGCATGGCCTGAGAAACTTGTTAAAAACACAGATTTCTAAGGGCAAAGACTCTGATTGAGCTGGTCACCACTGGAACTCAAGAATCTTCATTTTAGCCAGCTTCCCTTGCCTTTCCACTCATCTGCCATAAGAGTCTGTGTTAAGCATGCTCTGAATGAAGAGACCACCTAGTGAGCTTTTGGGCCCTGTCTTTAAATCCTTTGATGGCGTCATATACAAGGCCGGATTGGTTTAGATAAAAGCAGCATTCTTCATTTAGGAACAGGCAGAGTCCTCCTTTCTCAGCAGTCAATAGATCGAGGCCTCAGCGATTTTGGAGGACAACTGCAGCCAGGGAATTAACTTGGTCTTAGAGAACAGGCTTTGTGTGAACAACAAGGCTGTTTATTCACCCAGGTGTGGGCAGGCTGAGTCCAAAAAGAGAGTCAGCAGAGGGCATTGGGATAGGAGTTGGTTTTATAGGTTTGGGATAGGCAGTGTAAAATTACAGAAGTTACAGTTCGGGGCAGTTTTTGCAAGCAAGGGGGGTGTCGCTGGGGGTGGATATCACAAGGTCCAACATCCAGTGTCACAAGGTTGGCTTATCAGTTGAGGCAGGAACGTTTGCAGCATGAACAATGGCAGAATGTTGCAAAGTCTGTTAATCAGCCAATGTAGGAGATAGCCATTCTTCTTCTTTTCTGAAAGTGTACGTACAGGTCACAGGGGTCACCATGGTGTAGTCAGTTCAAAGAGCCTTACAGTCTGGACTTTTTTTTTTTTTTTTTTTTGAGACAGAGTTTTGCTCTTATTGCCCAGGGTGGAGTGCAATGGTGCGATCTCAGCTCACCACAATCTCCACCTCACAAGTTCAAGCAATTCTCCTGCCTCAGCCTCCCAAGTAGCTGGGATTACAGGCATGCGCCACCACACCCTGCTAATTTTTGTATTTTTAGTAGAGACAGGGTTTCACCATGTTGGTCAAGCTGGTCTTGAACTTCTGACCTCTTGATCCGCCTGTCTCAGCCCCCTAAAGTGTTGGGATTACAGGGCAGTCTGGATTTTTTTTATGTGTGAACTTTATGTGTCAATTTGACTGAACCACAGGATGCCCAGATATTTGGTTACACATTATTCTGACTGTAACTCTGAGGATGTTTCTGGATGAGATTAACATTTCTGGCCAGGCATGGTGACTCATGGCTGTAATATAGCACTTTGACAGGCCAAGGCAGGCAGATCACGAGGTCAGGAGTTTGAGATCAGCCTGGCCAATGTAGTGAAACCCCATCTCTACTAAAAATACAAAAATTAGCCAGGCATGGTGGCAGGCAACTGTAATCCCAGCTACTCGGGGGGCTGAGGCAGGAGAATCACTTGAACCCAGGAGGCGGAGGTTGCAGTGAGCCAAGATCGCGCCATTGCACTCCAGCCTGGGCGACGAGTGAAACTCTGAAAAACAACAACAACAACAAAACATTTTTATAGGTTAACTGAGTAAAGCGAATTGCCCTCCCCAAGTCTGTGGGCCTCATTCAATTGTTAAAGGCCTGAATACAACAAAAAGGCTGAATATAACATTTGTTCTCTCTGGCTGACTCTTTTGGAGCTGGGAACATTAGTGTTCTGCCTTTGGGCTTGGACTTGGGCTGGAATTTACATCATTTGGTCCCCTGGGTCTCCAGCTTGCCAACAGAAGATCTTGGGACTTCTCAACCTCCATAACCACATGAGCCAATTCATTCATATGTGTGTATATATTGGCTCAGGATAGCACACCTGACAACGCTGGTTCCCAGCTCTAGGGGGAGGCTACCCAAGGCTCTGGCAGACCTCCAACTATGTATGCATAGGGTAGACTACAAGCAGTTTAAATAAGGCTAAAATAACTTTCTTTCGTTTTGTTTTTGAGACAGAGTCTCGCTCTTTCACCCAGGCTGGACAGCAGAGGCTCAATCTCAGCTCACTGCAGCCTCCGCCTCCTGGGTTCAAGCGATTCTTCTGCCTCAGCCTCCTGAGTAGCTAGGACTACAGGTGTGCGCCATGCCCGGGTAATTTTTGTATTTTTACTAGAGACAGGGTTTCACTGTGTTGGCCAGGATGGTCTCGATCTTCTGACCTTGTGATTCACCTGCCTCAGCCTCCCAAAGTGCTGGGATTACAGGCGTGAGCCATGGTGCCCAGCAAAGGCTAAAATAACTTAACAGAGGCTGCAGCTCACCACAGGGGAGACAAAATTTGGAGTTTGATTTCAGCCAAGTTAACTGCCTACTAAACCAAAAACTTGGGATAAACCAGGTGCAGTGGCTCACGCCTGTAACCCCAGCACTTTGGGAGGTTGAGACAGGCAGATGACTTGAGCCTAGGAGTTCAAGACTAGGCTGGTCTTGAACAAAACCCCATCTCTACAAAAATGAGCTGGGCATAGTGCTGTGCGCCTATAGTCCCGGTTACTTGGGAGGCTGAGGCGGGAAGATCGCTTGAGCCTAAGAGGCAGAGGTTCCAGTGAGCTGAGATCATGCCCCTGCACTCCAGCCTGGGCAACAGAGTGAGTGCCTGTCTCCAAATAATAATAAAAATAAAATAAATAAATAATTTTGAATCTTCAGTGGACCATAACAGAGATCCATAATCTTTTCAATCTGTCACTCATAACTGTATTAATTGGGGTTCTCCAGAGATATATAACGAATAGGATATATATCTATTGAGGAATAATAGGTGAGAATAAGATATATATATTTATATCTGTTTATAAGCCATCCAATCTATGGTCATTTGTTACAGTAGCCTGAACTAAGACAGATGGAAAAAGGGAAAACTATAATATCAGTGCCCAGCACCTTGAAGTCTGTCGTAGTCAACTTGGCTGCATAATAAAATACCACAGACTGGGTAAATTAGAATCAACGGTAATTGATTTCTCACAGCTCTGGAGGCTGGGAAGTCCAACATCCAAGGCACTGGCCGATCTGGTGTCTGGTGAGGGCTCACTGTGTCATAGATAGCACCTTCTATGTGCCCTCAAATGGCAAAAGGGATAAGCAGGCTCCCTCATAACTTTTTTTTTTTTTTGAGACAGAGTCTTGCTCTGTCACCCAGGATGGAGTGCAATGGCATGATCTCAGCTCACTGCAGCCTCCACCTCCTTGGTTCAAGCGATTCTCCCACCTCAGCCTCCTGAGTAGCTGGGATTATAGGTACCCGCCATCATGCCTGGCTAATTTTTGTATTTTTGTAGAGA